TCAATGTTGACATGTCTACTTTTTGAATGAATATTTATGAAGATTTTGAGTGCCTAGGCTTTGGATTACATGATGAATTTGGAGAGGATAAGTATGATGAAAGGGAAGATGTCGAAATAATTGGTCGTGACAAATGTGAGTCCTTGGGAGAAGATTCAGATAATAAAAAGAATATAAGAGTATTTTCAAGAGATATAGTAAAGGAAAAATCATGCTCGCATAGAGAGGTTTACAAAATCAGTTTTTATGTTGGAAAAATGTTCCAATCAAAGAAGATATTAAAACCAAGGTGGATGAGCATACACTTAAAACAAGGAGGAATTTGGTTTTTTAAAAAAGAATGGCGTAGCAAGATTAAAGGATTATTGGAAATGTGTTGTACCTGGAGTCAATGATATTGGATCAAGTGTGGTTAATGGGTCAAGTGGTCCAAGCATGGTAGGTGGGATAGATAAAGAAAATAAAAGCAAGGAAAAAAGTAGTTAATTCCTTATCTATTTTCACTTGCCAACTGTATGCTTCTAGGTAAGCTAAAGATGGAAACTAGTTTGTGAAAAGCGACAAGTGCAACCACACCTTCTTGCAGTCAAGAAAGCTTAGAGCTTGCCCATCAACTTTCATATCAAAACAAATTACCATACAAGTTGAATTAACCCCCATAGTTTCAGTTAGAGCTTTATAAGAAGAGTATCAATATTAATACGCAATAGGTATTTTTGTTCATAAGATGTTTCGGGCTAAGGAAAAAGATAAAAAGTATGTCATTGGGGATTACTCAACACAATATTAGTTGCTTAACGATTATGTCCCTGAGTTATAGTCCACTGATTTGGGCACCACAGTGAAAACTGATGTTTTTAGTAAGCCAAATTACAACTCATCTATTAGACAGTTTAAGAGAATTTACATATGATTACGCTCTCTGAAAATGGTATTTTAAAGAAAGTATGAGGGACTATTTGGTTTGGATCGTGGCATTATGAAAGGCCCATTTCATGTCCAAGTATTGCAATTGTAAGTTTAGATTCAAACACTGGTATTTATCTACTTGTTTATGTCATAATCTAATCTGAAAATATAGCAAGTCAGAAATTTTTTTGTACTGTTTGGGGGATGATTTGGAACTGCGTTCAACCTTAAACTTTACATTTGTAAATGGCAGGAAAAAGGTGACAACTAAGTACTTATGTTTTATTTCTAATTCTTGATATTGTTATGGATATTGTATTCTAACATTTACATATTTTATTCAGGGTGTGATACCTACTATAGAACAATTATTTCCATGTGTCGAGCACATGTACCGCTTAATAGACATACATGAAAACATGAAAAAGAATTAGAGAGATAGGGAGTATAAGCAATATTTGTGGAAATATGCAATAGCTATAAATGTTCAAACATCATCAATTCACTGGGCGAGAAGCCATTGCCATTTTACAGGTAACTTTCACAAATTCATCTTTTGAATCCATGTTTATCTATTTTAAAATATATGATTGGTTGTATGGATGAATAACATAGGTAGGGCCATCTTAGATGTGCTTCTTAACATGCTTGGAATATATAAGTGATAATATCTAATGTAGAGAATTTTCAATACTTAAAGAAAAAGGAAATGTAAAGGTCCTCTAACACCTACTGCAACCAGATTGTTGCAAAATAGTGAGAAACAAACAACTAACACCTACTGCAACCAGATTGTTGCAAAATAGTGAGAAACAAACAACTAAATATATGGCTAGATGGAATGATGGTGGAAAGTACCATGTAGTTGGATCCAAAAAAATTATTTCGTGGATACTTGGAAGGTTGCATATGACTTTAAGGTGGAACCCAGAAGAGGTAAGGCAATGTCTCCTAAAAGTAATTCCCACTATAATTACCCCATTACCACTCCATAAGTTGGTTGGTGGGCCAAAAAAGAAAATAAGGCAACCAACGGAAGAGAGAATGAGTCAAAAAGAGAAGTCTAGTCAAATGGATAATGTTATAGCAAGTCAGAGTAAAGGTCAAGCATCCAACCAATTAAAAAGCTTAGTAGGAAGTTTGGGAGTGTTACATGTGTCAAATACAAACACAAGGGGCAGAACTCAAGAACATGTAAATGTCAAGGTGTTTTCAACAGGAAATGGGAGGGGAAGTCAAAATGAAGGTGATAGTCAACATTAGAGGGGAGGGGCAAGCCAAGGTGAATGTGTTGATCAACATGATAGGGAAGTGGCAAGTTAAGGTGAAAGCGATGGTCAATAGAAGAGGGGATGACAATTTGTTTAATAACTAGATATGGTTTGTATTTTATGTAAAACATTGTTATGTGATGCTTGTTTGGGTAAACTAGTTGTTATGTTTAAATTTGTGTGTTATTTTGGTAATGACAATTGGTTATTGTAATGCCCAATAGTTTTGGTAATGATGAATCTAATATGGTATTATAGTTTGCATTTCATGTTCTTATTTGGTTTTTTTCTAGTAAAGGTTCTTATTCAATTACATTCAATGATTTACATTATGGTGTTGTACTTTGCTTATCATCATTAAATTCTTTGAACCAAGCAACCATTACATTATTTATGGCTATGACATTCAACCTAATCGGATACATTACACAAAGCATAACATTCCATGGATAAACAATTGAGCTACAAGGTACATGGATTGACCTTTACTTGTAGTGATATACATTATGGTATTGTACTTTTCTTATTACCTTTATAGTCTTTGAAACAAGCCACCATTACACCAGTTATGGCTTTGTTATTCAACTTTATCAAAAACATTACACAAAGCTTAAAAGTTTGACAACAACAACAACAACAACAATTACAAAGGCTAATATTCCATTGATAAACAATTGAGGTAGAAGGTACGTGGATTAACCTTTACACTTAGGGATGTTATCCGGTTTGAAACCGGAAAAATAACCCGAATAACATGCAGGTCCCTTGCTATGTTCCTATTGTTCTGAAGTTGATAAGGATTCAGACCACATCCTCATCACTTGCTCGCTTGCAAAAAGTGTATGGGAATGTATTTTTAGATGGTGCAATATTCCTCTGCAGCATTTCAATAAAGTGGGAGAGGTGGTTGAACTAGCTAATTCAGCCCTCGGGAAGGGGTTGTCGTAACAGGCAGAACAACTTAATATGCATCTGTTATGGAACTATGTGTTGGTTGTGGAAAGCAAGATGTGACAGAGTTTTCAAAAATAATTGTGTACCCTCATCTAAGGTGGTGGAGATTATCAAGTCACAGGTTTTCACATGGGTTAAGTATAGGAGAGCGAAGTGTTCTTATCAATGGGTCGAGTGGGCTAATTGCCCTTTCAGTTGTCTGTAAATTTAACTTTGTAATTCTGGTTCCTGTCTGTTTTTTCTGCTCGTCTAGCTTCTTGCTAGGCGGGTGGCAGGTTCCCTTTTAATACATTTGCCGGTTCCAAAAAAATAAATAAATAAATAAAATAAAATAAAATAAATAAATTGTATTATGATTCCATAACCTGAATAACATTTATAATATGATTATAAACACTGTATTTTTATTATTTATGTAGCTTATGATCCCATAACAAAACTTTTAAAGAAACAAATTTGTTGATTAAAAATTTATTATAAACACGAATTAACTATTCTTGAGATATAAGAATGTAAAATCCAAACACCAAAATTTTGAGATATGGTTATGAAGCAATATATTAAACACTAAACATTAAACCCAAAAAAATCCATATATATATAAGTATATAAGTTAAACACTAAACATTCAACACCCAAACTAAAATATGAATCTTAAGTTTTTAACCATATCCAAAATAACATTTACCAAACACAAATGAACTATTTAGGAATATTGATTGGTTGTGGAAAGGGAAAACATCCCTACATAATATAACATTGAAAGAATAGCATTTACATAGTAGATTAACATAATGATGCTTAATTACGTATTTGAGTTTCTTGACTTGGAGCCCAATTTTCCATTACTAGACAAAGTAGAAATTTGTGAATCCTTATAGAAAAGAAGGAATGGTCGATTTCTGAACATACAGAGGAAGGATCGACACTTAAGAAGGACTTCAAGAATGGTAATGCTTGAGTAAGGAAGTCGACGTTGACAGTAGGGGTTTTTTTCTGCTGTGAAACCTCGACTCGATCATAGAAGGAGGGACAAGGAGCAATAGATTGAATTTCGGTGTAGCTAGGTAAATTAGGATTAAAAATAAATGACTTTTCAATTTCGGGTCGAGTATTTAGAACCGAATAAGCTTTTAATTAGGTAACCCAAACAAAAAAAAAAAACCCGAGAACCGAATAAACCTAATATAGATACCCAAAACCCGAACCAAATTGTTTATTCGGACCTAATTCGGTTTGGTTCGGTTCGGGTTTCCGGTCCAAACGTTCATCCCTATTTACATTGCGCATAGGTCAATTCATCAAAATAAGTACATCCAAAAAGACCTCAGCACTAAACAAACACCCTAACAACAAAGGAAGTTACATAAGCTTATTGAACCCTAATTCCATAACAGGAAACAAGAAATAAAATTCAGATTGACACCAGAGAAACTTCAATTTCTGAACTTTATCTTCTAAATCTTTGATCGAGAGCTTCATGATGCTCATGCTCTTAAGTAGACCACGTATGATTGCCTTAGCATGCTCACACATTAGCGGGTCAAACCAAACCTCATGTGTAGGGCACGTGGGGGGAGAAAATTGATGTCTTTTAACAGCTGTTAGATTTAGGGACCAAAACCACTCTAAACCCACCAAGTTGTAATCCATAAATTTGCTATCTCTTTCCATGATAAGTAAATTCAAGTTGTAATCCATACACATAAAGTATATATGTATTTCCAAATTAATGGTAAATCACACTGCACTGCACATTATGAAAGCGAAAACCACATACATGACACAACTAAAACCAACAGAATAAATAATAAAATAAAAGGATTCTTATATGTTATAAGTATAGCATAAAGAACAAGGATTCAAGAGGGTGAAATGTTTGTGCAAGAAAAAAAAAAAAGAATAAAAGTACAAACATTTTGTTTTCAATCATAGTATAGCCAAACTAGTTTCTTCCTTCCGTTAATGTTTTTTGTTTCCTCTGATTTGGTTTTGAGTTATGACTTATGAGTAATAGTACTATGGCCTAGCTCTTTTCATGGTGCAAGAAGGGCATTTATACTGTTTTATGCTTTCAGCCTTGGCTGGTGTGATTTTTACACATTTGCCATGATACCATCTCTCACATATATCACATCCAATCCAGAACTCATCAGCATTGTAGTTTCCACCACAGCTTCCACATTGTGTATCACCATGTTCATCCTCTTCATCTTCATAGCTTTCTTCTGCTACCTTCTGGTTTTGAATGCTTTTCACCTGTCCATCACTTGATCTCTGCAAATAAACCGTCTGAATGAGACTAAATGACCATTTTACCCTTGCATTCCAAAAAAAATTTAAGTAATCTGATTCTGACCTTTGTGCTGGCTTTTGCTTTGCTTCCACTTTCAGCTGCAGTTGGTTTGTCTTTTATGGGTTTCCTTTCTGATACGACTTCAAAGACAGTTGGCATCTCATTAATCATGCTAAACAGACGCTTCCTGTTAAACAGAGTTTTAGGAAGTTGTGATTCTAGATGAAGATGAGATAAATAATGAAGAGATTTTATAAAATGAAAATAGGAAGTACCTTTCATTGCGATTTAGGCGAGCTCCAAGATAGAAAGCAACAGAGAGCAACCAACAATCACTGTGAACAGCAACAAGTGACAACCAGTCTTTGCGATTCATTCCATCTCTTGCAAAGTTTATTCCAAGAGCAGGTTCAGGAAGCTCAGGAGGAACTTCTTCTGCAGGAAGAGTCACTTCCCAGCTTTCATTTGGATGTCCATATAGACACAGGTTCTCTTTTTCTACTCAAATCAAAACAATCTCATAAGCCAAATACATCAATTGCTTCAAAAAGAGTCCAGGATCTAATTCTAATCGTGTTTTTGTATGCGAAGTTTAGTCGACGGTGTTTTTTGTTAGAGTTTTGATCTTGCATTAATCATGGTTCAGTTCCGATTGGAGCTGTTTTATCGATACATGGAGTTTTTCTTTTGTTTAGCAAAAACTCACAAAAAAAATGCGATGAACTATCGAGATTGTTTGGAGATTTTATCAACTTCAACAATCATCATTACAAATTAGAAAACTGGTCTAAGAATTTCAACAAAACCCTAATTAATTTCTGTCTTGTAATGTAGTAGGTCATAAGTCGTAACTAAAATCTACAGACATGAGCAGGCATTTTGAAAAATCGATTTGAACCGATCTGAGTTTAGGAGATAACTACTGAAAGTGGAAGTTACCTGGGTCACAAATTCCATAAAATTCATCAACATCTGCACAAATTAAATTGGAACAAAAAAAGTCAGTAACGTGAAGAAAAAGAAGAAGGGGAAATTTAATCGGGCGATGAATTAGGGTTTGAATTACCATAAGTCAAAGCACGAACTATGCCTGCACGACGACCGCTGTAATCTCTGAAGATCTCTTCAACTGTACGAGGGCTAGAAGAAATTGAAGCCATTTCCATATAAAACTTTAAAAAAACAAGATCCGGATAAAATACTTTCAATTTCGAAGTCTATAATTTATTGACTATGCAGTTTTGTGCAGAGATCGGGTACAACATTAATCTGAATATTATAAATCAGGAGAGAGAGAGAGAGAGAGAGAGAGAGAGAGAGAGAGAAAGAGAGAGAGAGAGATGCTTGTACAAGAATCCAAAGGAAAGACGAAAGGAGGTACCATTTTTGCTATGAGCACTCCTTGTTGGTATCAACTACCAAGATCCCCAAATGATGTAATAAATTCATAAATAGTTTACTTTTTAGTTTTTAAAATGTCTACCATTTTTGTAGATTTTTTTTTTTTGTTTTGCCCAAAATAAAACCTTCTTTTAATATTAAGGGATAAAAATTTGAAACGGTGATAATCTTTGATACGTATACAAAAATATCATTAATTTGGTTTACACACATATTATAAGTTATATTTTTTAGTGTACATCAGTACATGTGTTAATATTTTTTTTTCATGTACAAAAAAATACAATTGATGATAGGTATTACCGTATTAGGTTAGCAGCTTTGCTGGTGATTTGCATTTCTTTTTTAATGAGATGGCAAATTTTATGTTGAGGTGGAGATCTACGCAGCATGATGTTCTTTTTCCCAATAAGAAAAAGAACATTATGGCAAAACTTTCATAAGTATACATTGTGAGGAGCAACAACCATCTACACATATAACTCTTATGCACCCTTCAAGCCAGTCATCCTTTTCACCTTTTAGACAAGCATACATCATTGAAAAGTAAATTGTGGAATCAAACGTCGTATATACATCTATCGAAATTGTTGATCCTAGATTATACCTTAATATCTCCGCATCATAACTCTTTAATTTTTCATATTGTGCCATCAAACCGCCTTCAATCTCATTCGGTCAATATTTCTTTGCATTCCCACACTGGTCAACAATGGCATTGAGGTTGAATGTTTTTGCAACTTCATTTTTAACTCATTTTGGGGTTTTCTCGTTTATAAAATGTGTTTCCTATCAATGAATATTTCACTAATGACCCAAACTTGAAGGTTTTAGCATAATTATGTTTATCAATTAAGGACTTAATTTGGAATGATTTTTTCTTACTCATCCAAGTAGCCTATAATCTAAAAGGACACGATGCTTTTTTTGTCATTTTTATAACACCTGATTAACAACCTTGTTTTATTTTATTTTATTTTTATACCATAGCTTATACCCATTTAGAGGGTGTTTGGATGGAAAAAAAAAGTGTTTATAGCTTATTGCTTATCCCCACCGCTATAAGCTAAGTTTAAGTGTTTGGATAGTAAACATTAAAAATCAGCTTATTGTGGTGGGGATAAGCTAAATAAGCTAATTTTTAAAAAGCATCCCCTAGCTTATAGCTATAATTCTAATTCAAACACTTTTGCAAAAGCTGTTTTCTCACACCGCTATAAGCTAATAAACTATAAACTAATTTATCTAAACACCCTCTTAAAAGTCTCTTAAATTCTTTAAGATTACAGGACCTCATACCAAGGATGGGTACTATCGTATCTCATTTATTTTTAATTTGAATCATGAACAGGAAACATAGTGATATATGTATGTGGCGCAATCATCTGATTCATTAATGTCATCGTGATCATCCGTAGAAATAACATTAATGTGACTTCGAAAAGGATCAACAAACTTCCTTAACGGTTTTTCCTTATCATCCTCTTCATGATCAATAAATAATCATCAGCCATGACGGAGTCCGCATCATCAGCAAACCTTTCACTAGAAGTACCTCCATTTTCTACTTTATCTTCCTCAATTCACTCAAGTACTAGTCTATTATGGTGAGCAATGTACACACTAATCATTCCCTTGTTACCAAAACATTCATCAATAAAAGAAACCTTAATTCTTTTGTATTAGACATGAATGCCTTTATTGATTTCTTGATAACAAGCTTTGAGTGTGTTTGATTGGATTGTGTTGGAGAGAAAGGACCCTAACCTTCCTTCCATTCTTGTGTGTAATGTATGTTTGATCTCATTCAATTAGGGGAAAACGATGTAATAGCCATGTAACACACCCCCTAATGTTCATATAAGCCTTTCTTTCTTTTTTATAAGGTGAAAATGACTTAAAATGGTAAGATATTTTTCGTTTTATACACTTTTAGTCACTAGATTTTTTGTCCATTAAATTTGTTATCTTGTTCACAAAATACCGTTAAAACCTGTTATTGAAGGTTTCCAGCGACTTTGATCCAAACATCTTTTCATGCGAGTTTCCGACCAACATGAGTTTTCCAACGATTTTAAACCCACAAATCCAGATCTAACATCTGGATCTGTGTTTCTGCTATGGAAAAAAATCGAACACCCTACAAAAACTCCATATGGTGCTTCAGTTTGAAGATCGAAACACCCTGCAAAACCCTAGAACTCAACAAATTGTTGAGAAAATATATTCTTGTTTTGTATAAGTATAATAATAGTTAATATATATGTTGCTATAAACATTTCTTAAGTGCAAATCTATTGTTATTTCATTCACATTTAATTTAACCCATGTTGATATAACCTTACAACATAAACATATTTAATCATTGTTTCTTATCTAATTAGTACATTACAAACTAAGCCTCTTAAACCAACAATCAAGTATGCAATACCAATCCTTAACACCAATGTTTGAAAAAAAAATACACCGGACTAAAATCGAGACCTAAAAAAGACAGAACATGCATGCGCACAAAAAGACATAAATACATTTCTCATGTTGTGTGTGTGTGTGAAGACATCTTCCCTCAAATTATCAATCCATACAAAAAGTTAACCAAATTACACAAAAATCACAAACCAAAACAAAATCTAAATGATCACAAATCACAATATTCCTTTGAGAAAATAAATATCTAATGCAAACAAACTAAAACAAAAAAACTCCACCAACCGGTCTGATAGCCAACATGAAATGAAACAGACAAGTGTATCTGTATCTGAATATAGAAATAGAAAAGCTCAAACTTCAAGAAGACGTCAGCAACCTCTTGATACCCGTTTTTTGATCGGATGTCAATCGAGTGGGGAACTTTATATCAAAATTGATCCTCAAATTCCCTTTTTTGGTTGGTTGTTTGGGAATAGGCATACCTTCACCTTTAACAACTTCTTCATAAGTAGGAGTAATTACACTATTGATGGGAACCGTTAGATTTCGTCCATCAAGGGTTGAGATTTGTGCAGTGTAACCTGTTAGCGCTTCTGCTAATGATATCTTTTGGGTGCACACAAGATCATTTCCATCTCGTTTGAAAACAGGGTGTGGTTTTTCATCAATGATGAACACAAGATCTGAAGGAATTACACCTCTTTGTTCGTTTCCTTTTTCAGGGAATGTGATTTTTGTTCCCTTTTTCCAACCCGGTTTTATTTCTATTGCCAGTATTTCTTCTACTGTACTCGATCTCCTACATTCAAAAAGAATCGATTCGTATCCATAATTAAACCCTTTAATTTAGGAAGGTTGAATCAATCAGAATCATTGATTTTTTATTTTTTCAATCAATATTTATGATTCTCGTATAAACCCTAAAGAAGTTAAGAAAATGAATTATGAATGAACATACCCGGATCCATCAGAAACATCTCTTGAAATCTTCATCTTCTTTGTAGTTCCTTTAAACAAGTCCTCCAAGCTACATGGCAACACGCGTTCAATCATGGCTCCTTTCCTAGGTGGCATATTTGCTGATGATCCTTCACCAACACCAGAAGCGCCTCTGAATTGAGAAAAAATGTCATCTCCAAACATACTTCTTTGAAACTGGCTCCCTGAATGTGAATGTGAATGTGATCCTCCAAATGGACTTGAGAACCCGAAAAACTCTGAGAAGATATCATCTGCATTTCGGGGATTAAACCTGAATGTGGTTGAGCCACCATCATGGGGCATGCCGGAAAACCCAAAGCCACCAGCTCCGGGAGGTGGCATCTGCCCCTTCAAACCCTCTTCACCATACTGATCATAAACTGCTCTCTTTTGTGGATCACTCAAAACCTGGTATATGTGTATGGACCAAATCCCTAATTAGATCATCATCATATCAACTGTTGAATTTGCAAAATCTATGTTTAGATATATACACAATCCAAATTAAAGTAATCAAGCACAAAGATTTACATCTGGATCAAAGCCCTTGTGAGAATAATAGCACATACACTGATACGCAAAGGATGTGTTTCAATGGTGGTGATTATGATTCTAATTTTCTTATTAGTTAAGATCAAAGGTATGAGATTTGGAGAAGAAGCTGAGAAGTTATCTTAAGAAAATTGAGTTAAGTGTAAAAGTAGCTACTGATTTGATTATGATCCTTACAGCTGCAATGTTCATATCGAATTGCACATCCAAACACCCACCAAATTGAAGTGTAAATTTGAAAAAAAAGTTAACTTTGGTTACGGATTTGATCAATAGGGTTTCATACAGATACAAATTAGGCTTCGGGGATAGTTTTGAATTAGACTTGGGGATCTTTTGTGTCGTTAGGGTTCTTACAATTGGGGAAACTTATGTTTAGATATATAGATATCCAATTCAATTCAATTGAACTAATCAAGTAATCAAATCCCGTGCTAAAAAAGATATATGCTTTAAATTTCAATGCAAAATTGGAAGAAATTTAGTTGCGTGTACACATACATCGTAGGCCTCGGAGATGGTTTTGAATTTGGCTTCGGCATCTTTTTTGTTATTAGGGTTCTTATCAGGGTGCCACTTCATAGCGAGTTTCCGATATGCTTTCTTCAAATCATCGTCTTTAGCGTTGCGGTCCACTTGAAGAACCTTGTAGTAATCCACGCCCATGGTAGCTCAGATCTCTCCCCCTCTATCTCTCTCTCTCTCTCTCTATCTCTAAGTAAGTATATAGTAGTCGGAGAGTTATTTATAAGTTTGATGATGTTTCTCGTGACTTCAAGAAAGAGTCTGCTCTCCGGCGATGGCAACAGAGGAAGAATTACCAGGTGGGTTGCATCTTCAGCAAAGGCGGTCTAGTCCAACCACCGTCAATAAAAATAAATAAATAAAATAAAAATTGGTTTTTTTTAGCTTAGACAAAATAGCAAAAATGTAGTACAAAGTTAATACGATACAAACTCGATACAAAATAAATTGGTTTGCGTAAAATATTTCAACTCGTTTAAATAAATGGATTAAGACGACACGAAAATTAAACGGGTAAGGTTAGCTTTAGAATTGAGAATTTCAACTCGAAAATAACCCGTTTATTTATATGTAAGTTTTTTTAATTCTTTAAATAAATTAGAAAGATATAAAACCAAAACAATAAATAAAAGAAAACATTTGGATTGAGTCAGTCTTGTAATGTTGAAATTACTTAGTCGTTTAGATCAAGAATTCATTTTCAGTTGTTCTGTTCTCTCCCAAACTACACAGTCTCTTTGACCGTTCTCTAATCCTTATGATCTTGTCTTCCACCTCCTCTGCTCGTACTCTTTCAATTTTGTCATCTAAATTTGTTATGACTTCATATACTCCACCTCTAAACTATTATTTTTTTTCTTTACGTCTACCCAACTCTTACTCTTTCAGCATGCTTAATAATTTAACCTCACGCGACAAGACATATTTTAAGGTATTCCCCTAACACGAAACCCAACACGAACTCGACATGAAAATAAACGGGTTAACACAATACGACACGTTAATTAAATGGGTCGGGTTAGGATCAAGCACTTTCAACCCGTTTAGTGTTTCTACACGACACGAACCCGGCACGACACGACACGATTTCCACCTCTGGTTACCATTACCACTGGTCTAAAATAGAAGTTTTGTTATAGTTTTGGTCAAAATTTTAAAATATTTATAATGACAATTATACCCTTATTTTTGTTTTTTCTATTTTTTTTCAATTATGTGTAAAAAAATCAAAAATAAAAATCCAATCTCACATTTATTATCCTACCCACCCATCATCTATGTTTCTCCTTCTCTCTATCTCCTCTCAACACCACCACCATCACTATCCGCCAGAAAAATCGGAGAGTCACCGTCACCTCCATCTGCCGGAAAATTAGAACGCCACCACTACCATATGTCGGACAATCAAAACTATCGAAAAAGGTTTCTATGTTGGTTAGTGTCTAGGATCGGGATGGAAGAAGGATCTGTTGTCGTCTGTATGTAGGTCACGACGGTAGTCATGAATGGGATTTATTGTCGTTAACGGAGATATCTGTTCATCGGAGTTCAAATCTAGGGTGTGTTCGTTGGAGTTTAGATCTGCAAACACTAAGAAACAGTTACCACAAACAGATTTGAGAACGATGTATTCTCTTCCGTCGACGACTGGAACCTGAATTGACGATCGACGGGACAAATCGGTCGAGCTAATAAGAAAAATCGCTTGACGAACAAATCCAACGGGTTTTCTTCACTTTTTGTAACATCCCAAAAATTAAGGTAAAATGTTTCAATTTCAAAACCAAACCAAAAGCAATAATTATTTACAAAACATAGTTCCCAAAATGTCAAATCATAAATCAGAGTATCCAAAGATCAAATCTCATAAAATTCGAAGGATGTTCACAATCAAGCCTTCGCCTTGACCCTGTCCTCTGAAGTACCTGAAACCATAACAATCAAATTGTAATCCAAAGCTTAGCGTGTTTCCCCAAAGTACCACACACAACCATACAAATAACAACATGCATATTAGGTTCATAGTTATCGAACTGGATTACCCCTAAGCCCACAGCATGAGTCTGACTTGACTTTCTGGCGCACAACTCATGTCTGGATTGCTCCCAGGCCTACAGCATAAGTCTGGATCGCCATTTTTGGACTACACCATATGTCTGGCTTGCTCTCAGTTTGTTGGCTTCCGCACAGAGCAGTGTTGCCTCAACCCAACCACACTATGTCGACATATGCAACAAACAAACATATAAACATGTCGATCTTAACATATCACACAACTTAACAAAATATTAAACTAGGATACATAATCTACTAGGCCGGCATTAGTGCCTTCGACCCACAAGTACAGTGAGGAAACTCACCTCAATATCAGGAAGATAGATGAACTGAATATTGCTCCAACTAATGGCTCTACAGGTCACATGCACAACACCTAGGGACCAAGTCTCAATCTACTATTAAAAATATCCGAAAAAACCTAAATTCAAACTTCGTCAAAGTTAACGGTCAATGTTCAAAAGTCAAAGTCAAAGTCAACCCCAATCGACCTCTTACGTCGTGGCTCTCCTTCAGCCACGTCGTGCCTGATGGATTTAACCCGATCAGAACCCAGTCTCGGACAAATCCATATTTGTACTAAAATACATAGCCACGATGTGGCCCCAAATCACCACGGCATGGCAGAGATAGTCTCAAAACAGTCGCGGAAAACCCCAACGCCACGTCATGGCACCTTACTGCCACGTCGTGGGAAAACGTATGAAGGCATAATTCTTTCCAAGTTCCTTAATCTGTAAAGCCTTTTGCCCAAACTTTACAGAAAGCATCTAAGGTTCCTATTGGTCCCTAAAAATGTAAACTTTATGGACATGCATGTCCTCTATCAAATCTAGGTCAAAAAAAGATAAGAAAATGGGCCTAAACTCATGCGAGGATCCTAAACCACAACCATTTCTCAGATCTACAAAACTATAGTGTCCTTGGGACTCCTAAGATTCATAAAGTTGCAAACTTTATCACTTTGTTTCACTCAAAATCCATCAAAGAGTTCAATCATGCAAGATAACTCTAGATCTATAGAGAAAAGATGAAAAGCTAGATATAAGATCCTTATAAATGCTCTAGCAAAATGATTCTAGAGATTGGAGAATGGTGTTTGCTTGCTTCTTGCACTCAATCTTCTTCTAATTCCTTCAACATCACCAAAAAGACTTGAAAATGAGCTCAAAATCTTCAAGGTGGGTTAAGGTTAGGTTTACAGGGCTGGAGAATGATGGAGGTTGAAGATGGGCAACCCCAGCCCTCTCTACTTTCCTTTAAATACCCGAAAAATTAGGGTTTTCAAGATAGAGGATCGCCATGTCGTGGATAATAGATGCCAAGTCATAGGGGTCATTAAATGATCCGCGAAACTTCCAACATCGCCATGTCGTGGGATGCCTTCACCACGACGTGGTCACTCTCAAAATCTAAAATACATTAAAACTAAATACCTCCAAGAATCTGGATGTTACAATTCTCCCCCACTTGAATCAGACTTCGTCCTCGAAGTCCGCTGCTGTAAGCAACTACGGATAGTGAATCCTTTGACCCACTAACTTTAACCAATGAAGAATAATCATCACTACTCCGCCTGAAATCCGTAGATCCAATACCTCGTCTGACTCCCAAGAAGGAAAAAGCATCCTTTAACACAGTCAATATGACTTCACTTCGCAACCCGAACCATACATAACCCTTCATACCCCGAATTATCTTGCTGATACCACTAGAAAACAGAACCCTTGATTATTCACTATTGATGAACCCTCCACTTGATGCAGATTTATCGAGTTTCCAACGGCAATGGAAAATGATAAACGCAAAGTGAATACTAAGAAACCGAGAAGAAATTACAGAGAGAATGAGAGAGCTTTCAATTTTTGTGAGTATCAAATGCGGCTCCTAGGGAGCTGTATTTATAGGTATCGAAACCCTAGAAGGCAAAAAAGGGGCCCACATGGGCCGACCCTTGGAAACCTTAGGGCGACGACTTTCTCTCCAAGCTATCAGTTTTGTAACCCTTCCAGAATATTATGTTGCCATATCTAGAAGTGGTGGAATATTTTGTTGCCATATCTACGAAGTGACGGAATATTCTGTTGCCATATCTACGAAATCAACTGTTTGACCAGATCATTCAAACCAACTTGACCCGAACTTCACCAAAAATAGAAGCTCCTCAGCTCCCAGCGACCGATACGTCATGCCAAGTGCCAAGAGCGCCTAAATTGTGCCATTTCGCGCACGCACGGCGTCGGCTAGTGCTAAGCTAGGTTAGGCACGTGTGTGTGGGCTTGGCCCATTCCTTTGATCCACTAAAGCCTTTGAAGGCCTATCAAGGGGAAAAGACTTATAAACCTACATAAAGTTTCTTCCCCCACCAATGTGGGATAAAGGAAAATAGCCAACTTGCTATTATACCTTCATAATTTCCAACATAAAGGTCAACAACATGAATTTTCACAACATTTGTTAATTATAAAGGTTGTTTTTTCATGAAATTAAGTATTTGCAGGTATCTGGGTATATCTGGCTTTCTGTTAGGAAGCCTTGTGATTCTATATGAAATCATAGTGTTTGTTCTTCAAGGATTAACAAAATCAAAAAGGAAATTCTCGACCCCCATTGTTCTTGGATTCTCGAATCTATTTTATGTTGGAATCGTGTTTTCCTATTTCATCGTCACTTAGGTTGCATTGAACTTTTTTTGACTTACACAGAACCACGAAAAATTCCTGATTTTGAACATTTCATGCAAGTCAGAAATTTTTTGGACCCTATTCCTAGATTTTGGCAAACCATAAGGACCGATTTTGCAGTTTTGGCTTCTTTTTTAATGTATTTGGAGTGATATACAACTTATTTTATGTTTAGTTTTAATGTTTGAACTTGTTTTTATGTGTATTTTGAATTTTTGAACTTGTGTGTACAGGAAAAAAACATGAAGAATTTTTCAATCGGTTTGACCTCGCGGCCAGGTCAAACCGGTTGAACCGGGAACAGATCGTCATACCGGTTCAACTAAAAATCGGTTTTTAAAACATTGGTCATTTTTAACATTTTTCTTTAATGATTCCGAATTGATCCTATATAAGGTTATAATTAATCACTAAACTTATTAAAATTATGTTTATTTAGTCACTTAACTTCTTTTTAAGTTTTAAAAAGAAGTTACTAGTTCAAGTTTTTGATGTCTGGGGATCAAATGTTATCAATATGGAGATATTGTGACAACCCGTAAATTTCTATCCTGTAAGTCAATCCAATCAACCAAAAGTCAGACTGGTTTCTATTGCCTTTTTGCCTTGTTAAGGG